GAGTATTCGAACGGTCGACAAAAGGATCAGTTGCGCTGATCACAGAATCGTGTTTTGATGCTTTATTCTTGTAGATCAGCTAAAAATGATGAGATCTGTCTAAAAAGCAACTCTCTTAGTTCAATATCAGCCAAGATGTCACCCTGTAGAAAATTGGGGTGTATGACGTCATCTACCGCGGTGCTGAAACCTGGTTTCATCAACCTCGCTTTCATCCGAGCTTCACATCGAGTAATCAGTAAAAATATGCATTTCCCTCCCTGATAAATGAAAGCAAGGTGGAAGTAACCAAGGGTAGACGCGGTGGATGACGCAATAAACCGAATATTTCAAAGTGTAATATCTCGGTTATATTGAACATAGAAAGTAGATGTTTTGAAAACGCCTTTGAATGCGGCGTGATACCTCACACATTCCGGAGAGTTCAAATAGTTGTATGATTGCGCCGTAAGAATGCGACGGAAGATTACAATTGAAATAGCCTCCATGCACGCTGGGCGTGTCGATTTCCTTTGACATTTTTGCAGTTGGTGTATGCAGAGCTGAAGTGCGCTCAAAAAATCTTATTATTTTTAGCTGCTCTACAAGAATGAAGAATTAAGTCACGATTCTGTGGCCTACGCAACTGACCCGTTATTAAGCAGTTTGAAATTTGAAGGCGTACTTGGACCGTGGCGGGCAGTTTGAAGACCGCCGAAGACATGGCAATGGCGCGGCGCGGTATACGGCAAAACAACACACTAAGTGCACATAAAATGCTCGCAGTCAATAATCTACAGAGCATCAGCCATAATTTTATTCCCTCTTTTCATCCCCCCGTGCCCCTCCCTCCATGCGGAGCCCTTGTGACAAAGCGCCTGGCCGTTACCTAGGGCTCTCCATGCGCGGAGTGTTGTATAACCTCGGCCGCGCCGCGCCGCGCCGCGCTGCGCCGCATTAATGCCTGCTTTTGACCGTTTGTGGCGGGCGGATGCCCGAGGCCAAGTGACAATGGATGGCTCTTTGTTCCATGATAACTTCCCGCCCGGAATTTTAATGCGGCTGTTTTAAAGCATATCCATTAAATAATCAAAGGTTTACGACCGTTAATTAAACTCCTCCGAGGGATGCTTGTTGCTTTTTCGCTTTTGTTCGGGATTTTTTATCAAACTTATTTGAATATTCCTTGTCTTCCATCCACTTTAATTGGGTCATGGCTTGCTGATGGATCCAGGAAAATTTTAGCGGCGGTCCATAAATTATAACAGAAAACGGCTTTATAGAAGTGTCCATTGAGGTTGGAGGGGCCCTGAGAGGAGGGGGAAGGAGAACTTGCTCTAAAGGTGGAAAAACCTGTGATTAAAAAATTTGAGAGGTGAAAATTTAGGTAGTAAAAAAGGGAATCATAAAAAAGGTGTCTATCACTTAGTCCATAAATTTTAATGATCAGCCTGCAGATAGTTAATTTTATAGATGCGCCAGGAACAATAGTTCCGTATGAGTTGAGCAGCATATTGCGTGGTTTCTTAATATTGGAAACAAATTTAGAAAGTTATAGCCAGGTAACGATGTACGCCGTGGTCCGGCTAAAACTTTCTGAATTTGTTTCCAATTGTAATTATCCCTCGTAAAATAGAGCCCATAAATGAAACTATCTTACCACGACCGGGGACGTAATAAAAACAAATGGCATAACCCCTCCGGGCTCAAGCAAAAATCAGGAATAAAGGGCAAGTCATGATCATCGTTCAGGCGCCGCACAGTGAATCGAGTCAATAGGAGAGGTCGGACAAAATTTGGAAACTTCAAAAGCTCATAACTCTGTGTATACAAATAAATTTTGAGGTTCTGAAAGCGGTCCCATTGGTTTGCTCGTAATTTTTTTTTTTTTTGACAGCATCCCTTTAAATTTTAAATGTGACGAAATTAACATCAGAATTTGCAGTTTTAGTCAAAAATTTCATGTCCGACCTCTCTAATTGACTCGATCCACAGTGCCCCGGGGGTTGTGGAGGCATGAAAGCTCAAAGCTCCTGGAGCGGTCTCCGTGTTAGCGCGGATTTTCCAACGTGGAAAATCGCCCTAAAGATTCCCGACGGAGCAGGAGGTTAGGGAGGATCAAAGTTATCGATTTACTTGCCCACGCATTTTAAACTTCGGCCGACTGCCCTTTGCAGGCCATGCACTTAACTCTACAAGCTATCGAACACGCTCGGAGCGCTTGGTTACGCCGCACAGTGGAACGAGGGGATCAGACATTCCATTTTGTGCTAAAATTTCAAATTTTGATGCATATGTCTCAGGCAATTAGCAATCGCCGGCAACTTGAAAGCCATTAGTGAATAAATAGAAAAGAAAAGATTTCAGAAATATAGGAACAAGATTAAAACTGATCATTTTGCCTTTAATGAGAGTAGGTATTTTTCCCTCCATAAAAGAATGGTAGCAACAGGCGAACTGACGAGAGCGTGTGGGAGAAGCCATGACCCTAGTTGGGTGCAGTTGGGTCACGCAACTAAACTAACACCGTGACAAAGCGTTGAGTATCACAAAAAATGAAGGCGCTCCAAGACGAGATCATGCTTTTGAAGGCCTTAACGCATCAGGCCTTCGTTCAGCTGATTCGCATCGAAAAGAATGTAAACGCTTGCAAACTGCTGACAGTTGCTAATGGACCACTAGACAAGGTACAAATTTCAGCATTCTGATACGTGTTTCTTAACCAAAATTTCACGTAAAATGCGATGCGCACAGCAAAAATTACCGAAATTAACTCCTTTCGAAGATATTTAATGATTCTTGATGCGTGAGTTCAAACCACCCGCTCATGAAAGCTTAATGCTCTACGTGATTCACATCGCGCGCTGAACGTTTATCATGATAGTCTCTGCGATATAAAAATCTGAAAACCTCAATCTTGACGGTTTGGCTCAGCTATAGCAAATTTCTTGTGGTTTGAACAACACATGATGGGAAATGAACATTGCTCGATTAAGAAGCTTGCTGAAACCGTTTTAGAGCGCAATTTGACTCAAGTAGAGCTTTGAGTTTCTTGTGAGCGGGCAGTTCAAATTCCTCGTAACCAAAGTGAAATAAAAACGTTAATATTTTCGTTAGGAGTTGGTTTCAGTATTTTCGTTGCACAAATCGTGTTCTACGTGAAATTCTGGTAAAAAAACATGTATCAGATTGCTTAAATGCCTACCTTGTCTAGTGTTCCATTGCCTGCGACACATTTATCGTCTCAAATTCAATTTCAAGGTGTGTTTCTGAAAGAAAATCTCATTGAAAAACCAATGGAGCCACTTTTGAACTGTTTTACTCCATATTTTCGACGATACAAGCTTTTAAAGTTGCCAGATTTCGTCCAACTTCTTCTGTTGACTCGGTTCACTGTGCGCCGCGCTGGAAGCGGCACCGATATACATTTCAAAGCAGATTCGCGCGACTTGCGTGATTCCCGTGAACATTTTGAACTTGAAAGGGAACATGGCCGATGTTACGTAAGCTCCAAATCGCGTGGACACGATGGTTTTCAGGGGCTCATCCTAACAAAGCTTTCAGATCTTTTCAAAATATGGGTCCGTATATCAGGTTCGCGACTGCCTACGTGGTATTCAAAATCCCTTGACTAAATATTTTCATTAATATGTATACTCGTTCGTTCCGCTATTCCGGAATCACTTATTCCAAACCAACTGGATAAAGGTCAGAGGATGGATGTTTGGCCCACCTACGGATGTTTTCCCAGTCCCTATACTTATTCGTGTTCTTCGTCCCTGTTCAGGATTTTAATATCATTCTTGTAATGGACCACTAGACAAGGTACGAATTTAAGTATTCTGATACAAGTTTCTTAGCCAAAATTTCACGCAGAACACGATTCGCGCAACGAAAATGACTGTAACCAACTTCTAACGAAGATATTAACGTTTTTATTTCACATTGGTCACGAGGAATTCGAACTGCACGCTGTCAAGAAACTCAAAGGTCTACGTGAGTCAAATCGCGTACTACAACGGTTTCAGCAAGCTTCTCAATCGAAAAATGTTCATTTCGCACCATGTGTTGTTCAAACTATTAGCAATTTGCTATGGATGAGCCAAAGCGTCAAGATTGAGGTTGCCAGATGTTAATATCGCAGAAACTGTCATGATAACGTTTAGCGCGCGATGTGATTCACGTAGAGCATTGAGTTTTCATGAGCGGGTGGTTTGAATTCACGCATCAAGAATCATTAAATATCGTTGTGAGGAGTTGATTTCGATAATTTTCATTGTGCGCATCGTGCTGTACGTGAAGTTTTGGTCACGGATCATATATCAGAGTGCTGAAATTCGTACCCTGTCTAGTGGTCCATTATGATGGTTTAGATTTGGGACCCACTTTGGCATGGAGGTATGGCATGGTTTGTATTGTTGGGTGGCGAGGCGCGCATTATCGACAATCGATATCTTCCCCATTGAAGCAATGGTGAGTATCGATTATTAATTATCGATTACTATGATCTGTGATACATTAGATGTTACAGATTTAAATTAAGACCTAAATTGATCAGGGGCTTTTACAAGAATTTTAATTGATAGGCAAATCAATCAATCATGGGATTGTCACAATCAGAGGGGGTAGTATGGCGTTTGTGTGCACAAATTGAAATAAATGTAAGCGAATTCAGGAAATTTCGCAGAATTTACATCAATTAATAATACTACGGGTGAATTTAGTTCGATTTGTCTTAAAAAATTTGAAATTTGTCTTTGAGATGGACAATTTTACAACAAGGTTTGATTCTGTAGCTGCTAAGCGATCCGCTTGAGTAGCTAGACAATGTGATCCTAGGGTCCCTTTCATCAGGTTCATGATGCAAGTTAAGAAGCATAAGATGGACTGACTAGAAATAGAATGATAGCTTTTTTGTAATATTTAGAGAAATTATTTGTGCAAAACTTCAGGAACTTCACGGATAATGTCTTATAAATATGTTTAAGATAGTGTTTCTCATACAAGTACATAATACTTACATTGATGAACTATAGTTGCTTCCATCAAGCAGCAAATCGTTACTGAATGAAGATTTCTTATGACTTCTTTATAGGAGACTTTTGGTTTTAAAAAGTCTTTTCCACTGATACAAAAATTCTACTGGGTATTGAAAAAATAAGGCGAACAAAAACAATTACTGCTTATCTGGGTAACTTTCTAAGAGGAATTTTTCTAAATATTTGTCCACTATAAGTGCAAGAATCACCCCGAATATACCATCACACTAAAATGAAACTAACAGTCGTAGAAAATCAAGCAGTACTTTACACTTCAAAAAGAGTACAAGCCTTCCGAGCACGTAGTATTAACCAAAAATATTCTACGCCGTAAATTCATCAAACGGAACGAACTAAATTTCAATTTTTTCCCCACTGTTTTTTTATAGATTACTACACCAAGTTCTCACTTTATTTCTGCATTTAAGGCAGCGTCCCTGCAACAAGATGACGAATAAAAACAAATCTAGGGATGAGAACACTGAGTGCCGTCTTAAACACGAGCCGTTCCGATCGTATTGATTCCGAGCTTAATTTTATCGATTCGACAACTTGTATGTCTATCCACAGCGCATGAAATGCATGCACGAAGATCACGATTCTGAGCCGATTTCGAGGTTAAATACAATGTTCAAGGTCTCCGTTTCTCTCGTGCGATCCGGGAAAAAGGAGAGCGGAGATGAAACCGGTCTCGGTTTTCGGTGAAAGCGTGGGTGTGCGGGTTTTCCGACCGGTTTTCCGGGCGCGGGCCGACAGGTGGGTCAGGACTAATTGAGGCTTACTCAACAGGTGCGCCGAGCTCGGAGCAGGTTTCGCGAGCGAGGGAACGGTAACGGGGTCAGGAGCGCGAATGCCGACCGAGTCCCGAAAGCGGCTGCGGAAACTGGGAAACTGGGAGAGCAGAGTCGCGCGCCCATCGGGAAAGCGCCCTCTCCCCCCCGGTTGGGCGTCCCCCTCCCCCGACCACTGCCCCCCACCCCCCGGTACTCTCGCGCGGAGTTTCCCGAGCCGGGTTGCCGCCACGTCGCACGGTGGAACGAGTCAATGGGGGAGTCGGACAAAATGGAGATGTTGCATGTGTGAGGAATTTGCGATTTGGCTGTTGATTCTTATGTAAAAGTTCGTGAGAAACACGATGGTGCCACTGGTTTTCTCTGAAATCAACTTCCAAGCTCAAAAAAAGCTCTCAAGTTGAGGGCAAAATGGAGGGGATCCCACGCTATCCTGAGTGTCCACCTCTACATCAAGACAAACTTTCCATGCAAAGATAGGGAGCAAATACATTAGCAGTGTTGCCGTGTTTTCAGTTTTAGAGTCCCCAAATAAAGTGGCAGCCCTGTCAATGTATTTGCTCCCTATCTTTGCATGGAGAGTTTGTTTTGATGTACAAGTGGACTCTCAGGATAGCGTGGGATATCCCCGGCCATTTTGGCCTCAACCTGAGTTTTTTTTGAGCTTGGGAGTTGATTTCAGAGAAAACCAGTGGCACCATCGTGTTTGTCGCGAACTTTTACATAAGAATCGACAGTCAAATCGCAAATTTCTCACACATGCAACATCTCCATTTAGAAACTCAAAAAGTGTATTTAACTCCTTTATAACAAAACATAAAGGTTTTAAAACTGGTTCTATTAGGTTACTCTTGAAATTTTATTTAATAAACACCCCTTGAAATTCAAAATTGAACAAAGTTAGAATCAAAATCGGCAATTTGAGTACAGAAATTCATGATCGACCTCTTCCATTGACTCAGACCACTATGCGTTGCCACGTCGCTGAAACTTAGAAACTTTTAACGCTTATAACTCCGTTTGTACAAAACTTTGAGGTTGTAAAAGTGGTTTCATTGCTTTTATCGTGAAATCTTCTGTTAAAAGCACCCCTTACAGTTTAAAATGTGACGAAATAAACATCCAAATTCGGAATTTTGTCAAGGAGCTATGTCCGACCTCTCTAATTGGCTCGATCCACTGTGCGTCGCAGGATGGAACCAGTCGATGGGGGATTCAGACAACATTTGGAAACTTTAAACGCTTATAACTCCGTTCATACAGAATTTTGAGGTTCTAAAAGTGGTTTCATCAGTTTTCTCGAGAAATTTTCATCTTAAGGCACCCTTTAAAATTAAAAATGTGACGAGATAAACATCAAAATTTGCAGTTTTAGTCAAAAATTTCATGTCCAACCCCTCCTATTGACTCGATCTACTGAGCGTCGCACGATGGAACGGGTCAATGGAAGAGTCGGACAAAACTTGGTAACTTTAAAGTAATATAACTAATAAGTAAAAGTTAAAAGTAAGATAAAAGTTTCTTTCATTTTCTTAAATTTTTAAGTTATTTTTCGATTGAAAATGACTCAGTTTTGAGTCGAAACGTCTTTGATTTTTAGCGCTGTATTTTTAGCCTTATTTACCCATCCCCTCCCTTGTTTTTCTCCTGAAAATATTATCCGACTGGAAAAAGAGCTTAACCAGATTTTTGATGAGCCAAATCGAGCATTCATCGCCCCATGTCGTCTGGGGTCTCTACAGCGGGTAACGCCCATCAGGGGGCATAAGGACAATACTGCAAGAAAGAAGTACGTAAAGACATTCGACAGTTGCCAAATTTCCCCGTATAAAACGAGTATTTTGTAGAAAAGTTATGCATATTTTTCCTGAAAATTCTCAGATATTTTAAAATATATTGCGTACAAAATTGTCAGAAAATTTTGAAGAAAAATATTCAAAATTTTCCCGGTAAACTATCAACTATTGAAGGAAATATGGCAACGTCTGAAGGCTCATACTGCGTTCAGCCTTAGGACGGCAGAATATAAGAGGGTGCGGGTAACTGGGTCAACGAGCCCGATTCCAAAAAAAGAAAACACAGAAAGTGAATGTTTCCACTTAACAATGAGAAAGTTGAAGGGACGGGGAGGATGCGTTTGCGCTGAGAGGGATCCGGGGAGTTTAGAGCGGGCACAAAAAGGGTCAAAGAGACAATAGTGGCTTTGTAGGCCGGAAGATTGGAAAGTAAACAAGTTTCGGTGTGGTTTTGCAGTGTGGGCTCGAGATAAAAGTAAGACTATCGAACTCGGCGAGGCGCGGGCTGTCTTGGCTTTGGTGGCCTGATCCAGGGAGTTTAAATTTTCCAGGTCAACGATAAAAAGAACATGTATATAAAGAGAGGAGATCCGCTTTTCATTCTTGGAGGCCGACACTTTGGAGGCCATTCCTGATTATTTAAAGCAAAACAAAATTTTATGATTGGTTGGTTGGTCGGTTGGTCGGTTGGTCGGTTGGTTGGTAGATACGTTTATTTGGTGCTCTTAACATCTGAGCCATCAAAACCTCAGAGGAGAGATCAAAATAGTGTAGTGCAGCATTTATTCACTTTAAAAAGTAGGGTCACAAAAGGGTGGTGCACAAAATTAAAAGATAGGACAAGGAAATAGTGCATAAAAGCACTCGAATCCTGATGACTGGCGTATATCTGAACGTGTGAAGAAGTGATAGCTCCATGTATCCTAATTTGCATATGCCTGTATTTGAAGGCATTTTCACTCCCGATTGCTTTCTATTACAATTTGCAAGATATCTCCCTGTTACCAAAGGTTAAAATTTCTCAAACAGCAGCCCGTGACAATGATGATATCAAAAACAAAGGTGAAAGACCGGGAAACAAGACCAAGAATTACACATTAAAATCCGAGACGTTTCGTTCCAAAAGTAAGTCATTTTCAGTCAGAATTTATAATTATATACTGAAAAAAAAAAAATCCGGCCGTGGGAGCCGCAATCACGGGCTATATAGACATACCGTCCGTTCCGGGCTCAAAGGCCGAAAATTCCGGCTGCTGGAGGCGTAGCTTCGATTGCTCCGGGTTCAGAGGCCGAAGCTACGGCTCCAGCAGCCGGAATTGTTGGCCTTTGAGCCCGGAACGGACGGTATGTCTATATAGCCCGTAATTGCGGCTCCCACTGCCGGAGTTTTTTTTTCAGTGTAAAATATAAAAATTCCAACCAGAAACCTACAGACTATATGATGACCGAGAAAATCAAGACAAAGAGAAGGGCTTTGGAATTTGGAATTTTTATATTTTATTTTTATTCTTCCGACTGAAAATGGCTCAGTTTTGGACCAAAACGTCTCGGATTTTTATGTGTAATTTTCAGCCTTGTTTCCCGTACCTATTACCAAATGCTCATCGTCTGTCTTCAGTATTTACTTTTTGCAGCAATGCCATCATGAACTCGAAGTTTTTCACCTTCATCATAACGATCAGTCGAATTAGACTCCGATCGACGCCAGTGGCGTGGCGTGCTTTGCGATATATCGATTGACCGGCCATTTAAACCCATGGAAAAGTATCGATAAAAGGGTGTTCGCAGCAAACACCTTAATAATCGATTATTTACCACAGCTTCAAATAGGGAAATATCGATAGATCGCAAAGCACGCCACGCCACTGATGGACGTAGCAAGAGTTGCAGCCGTTCGATTTCTCATTGGACATTTCAGCACGAACGGTGGAATTTTACCCTGCAACCTCCAGGGGTTGTAGCACCATAAACTTCGATTACCCTCACTAAATATTTTGGTTTGACATTTAGCGTGGTATTTGGTGGGGTAATTTTGCTGCGTATTGGTCGTAATAAAGATGATACAGGTTAGAATGAATACAGTTTTCTGTTTTGCTTTGTGCCCATTCAATAAACATTTATCGTATATCACCAGACAATCATGGATCAATGTTTTATCTGAGAGAACGAAGGGGATTTTTTGTCTGAGCGACACATAGCGCAAAGCGTATTTTTTTAAAAAAGGATTCGTCTTTCTCTCATAACATTCATAGTGAATGAAAAAAAAAAAATAATTGGAACTTCTTGGTTTTGTTTTCCCCGCGAAATGATTTGGACCCAGCACCATTTCTCCACCTTGTTTACAGTGAATGTTGAGTGCTGAAATTACCATGATATTTTAATCAAATATGCAATTATATATACTGATTGACTGTGGAAAACAATCATAGAAGTATACTCAAGTTAAAGTTTGAGCTATTGTGAAACATCAACAAAAGGATGCTAGGGAACTTGGCTTTTTGAGTGTTCTCTCAATTACATTAGGAGAGAATCTAAAACTTGTTCCGTTATTGCGAGACAGAGCGAAGTTCAATCAAACGGAAAACGGTGGTTATTGCAGCGAACATTGTAAACGAACAAATGAGCGGGTAAACAAATAAACATGAAAGGCACCGGTGTGGGATGCCCAGAAACAGTCGAGGAAGCAGTGCTGCATGAATAATGAATGAGCGCCTTCAATATGGCCGATATGCAAATTCGCGACGTCCAAGCGCGAATATTTACATACCTAATGGTTAACTATTTTCGCTCCGACGCCCAGCGCTTAGTGTACCGTTCGCGGCGAAAAATTGAAACACTGTACCATAATTTACATCGTTTTGATGTTCATGTGAATGAGTCCTTCGCACCTCACGGTCTTTCCTTGTTTTATCTCCTGTGAGTGCACTGACATTTACAGGAGGTTATTTGCAAATGGGGGTTTTATTTTACGAGCAAGCACTCTAATAAAATGTCATTTTTACAAAGTTAGAGAAACATCGTTCGAATTTTGCAAGACTAGTAGTATGACTAATTAACAGCAATATGTCCTCTTCTGCATTTTTCAAGATTTATTTTGGCAAACTATAGAACTGATCTATGAAATACAATACAAGAAGCCTCTTGTACAGAGGCATACTTGAGGGGGTTAGAGGACAAGGCGCAGAAGTGCAGTTTTTGAAAAAAAAATGAGATATTATAGTGATTTCAAGTAAAACAAGACTTAATCATATTCTGTAAAAAATTCGATTCCACATTCCAATTGGAC